CCCTGGGGCCTGGAATAACCAGTCAAGCTCCCGGAGGAGATCAGGGCCCTGCGGGATCTTATGCAGTTCTGCGGGGCCTGCAAGACGGAGCTCTTCCACCAGGCCTTCAATTAGGAGCCGCCCACATTACTATCAACAACCACTATTAATACCTGTGGTGGAGGCTGGCTGTAGTGAGTTTGAGCCAATACGCTTAGGAGCCTGTAACCATCTGAGCCTACATGACATGTTATGCCATCTTGGGTAATAATCACTGACTGCACTTTACTTGAATATTGTTGATTGCTTAAATGTTTTAAATGTTTTAATAGTGTTTTAAGCTTTAAATGTTTGATGTATAGGAACCTGTGCCAGGCAATGTGAACCGCCCTGAGCCCGCTTGTGGGGAGGGCGGGTTATAAATATAATAAATAAATAAATAATCTCCATGGGCCTCAGCTGATGTCATCTGCCAAACTCAAAGTCGGTGAAAAACAGAAGAATTAGCCAACACAGCAAAACAGCATTATGAACAGCAGTTGTCAAAATTTAGTCAAGAATGAGAAGTGCAAACTGTGCTGCCCCTAGGGGTGTCAAACATGTGGCCCGGTAGCCAATCAGGCCCCTGGAGAGCTTCTATCAGGCCCGCGGTGGAACTGGCTGTCTTCTGCTTGCAGTTCCAGGTCTTATTTGGGATGGAGAGGCTTAGCCAGCCCTATACTGCCCTGTTTAAATTGACCACTCAAACAACAGTTTCTTTGGAAATTAGGTGGATAAAATTGGCCACAACTTTATTGGTTGCAGCTGTAATAGGCATTGGCACAGCATGGGTCCACCAAAGTCGACCCATTGGCTGAACCATCCACCAGCCAAGGTATCCATTACCCAGCCAGCCAGCATGGGTAGAGACTGCAGGATGGCAGGTTGCCAGGGTTCACATGGACGCCTGCCCCTTTGTGAACTCCCCTGCCATCTGGCAGTGAGGACAATTGCTGTTAGTCCTTGCATTTGCTTGCTCCCTTCAGCCCTCACGCCAAGACCCTTACAGGGGTCCCCGCCTCCAGAAAATGGCACGCAGGCTGATTTCTGCAAATGGATCCAGCCCCATGCTGTTACCGCCAATAGTTGTGATGAAATGTGCACTATAGTACTATAACAGTAAACTAACAACAAACAAACTAAGACCCGCAAACACCCTTTGTCATTAACCCAGCCTACAATATTCATCTCCAAATGCCACACGAAACAGGGAGGGATGGGTGGGCAAACAGCTCTCTGTTCTCCATTGGTCGGGTGGGGATGGCGAGCAGCCTGCACCCTCTTTAAAGGCCTCCCCTCCCGACCACCCTGTTGCATTGCCATTGGCCCGAGGAGGGAGGGGAGGCACCTATCTTCCCACCGCTTGCCCGGCCTCACCCCCCAACCCAGCATCTGGGTAGCCTCTTCCTCCCCCGTCCAGCCCCACAAATGGTGGGCCTCGTCTACCTGGGCCCTTCCCGCTTCTTCCAGTTCTGCTGCTGCTGCGTCATCATAGGTTTGCAGCTTACAGATACACACCTGAACAGCATACTCAAGATTGCAACAGCACAGACATTTTGATGCAATCATTCAGAGCAAGAGGTGTCAGTTATCAGACACTGTTAAATAAACAAAATATTGCAAGAGTGCTAATGTTTTAAACATGTTGGTAAGTAAAAAAAAAACTTTTGTGTTTGTGACCTTTATAAAGTTTATATCTCTGCCACCTGGCATTACATTTTATGACACACATGGCTGGCCCAACAAGGTCTCATTTATGTCAGATCCGGACTTCATAACAAATTTCAACACCCCTGACTTATGCACTTAAGAAAATGGCTAATTTATAATTGGGAGCAATGCTCCCTCTAAGTTGTGGAGTCCTGTGAGCAAAAATTCTACTTTGATTGGGAGATAACAGAATACACCATAAATGATGGCTTGTATCCTACAAAGCAACAATGGAATGCTGATTTTCCCCGTGTTTTTCTCCTCTCTGCAGGTCCTTTTGATTTATTTTTTTTTAAGATTATCCCTGGGGCCGTTCAGAATTTGAAGATGCATATCCAACAATGAAATTAGCTGTGATGTGAACTTTTGAGAAAGACTACAAAAATCGAGCCCTCTTCACATGCTTTCTCTATTGTGGGTTTTAAGGCTAAAGTTCAACATATCCATAAACACTGATTCATAATAAGCTTATTAAGTAGCTGTGCCTTATGTGGCTGTAGATCAGCGGACTTCAACTTTTCCAGACCTGTGACTGAGCTGGAAAAAGTGATACGAAGTCACATCACATAACCATGTGCCAGGAACAGGGGGAGCCAGAGTTATGACTTTTCTGATGTCAAAACCAGGATTGTAGCCCAAGAGATCTGGGGACAAGAAACATAAGCAAAGCACCAGGACATGGACTCTATGGAAACACAAACCAAGAGTTAAAGCCGTGAAGGAACCCTTTCCCTCATTCCAAAGGCAGCCCAATTGAGTTTACTTGGCAACCTTCAGTTCTCTAGAATCTGCCTAAACTGGTTAAGTTAATGGCTGATTCACAGAAGCACCTGTACACTTTACTGAGAATCCACATTAGACAATAAAGAAGTTCCACACACAAGAACTAATCTGCAGTGGCTCACTGACAGATACAATTCACTGTAATGCTACCATCTACAAGTGATTAACACAATATCTGAATTAGCCCTGAAATACTAGTATAAGCTTTATTTACTACCACTGAAGCTGAGTGGCTAATGATGACAAGCTCTCTCCTGGTGTTCATGACAGAGGAATGGTATTGCTACCTTTGCTGGAAAATCATATTGGCTTTGTCGATAGGCAAGCCAGAGCAAAATGCTTAAAGGAGAGTTTAAATCAACATAACTTGACACACTACAACTTGCATCTGAGGCTTCTGCCCAACAAAAGCTCACATTGCCCATCACACTGAAACCATCATAGATTATATAAAAATTGAATGAATAAATAAGGTAAGTAAAGGCATATTGATTCCTAACTCTATACTTTATCTAATTTCATCCAGCACATAAGGGAAATGGTTAAAAATTATTCTTTGTAGGCAATTCTGCTGCTCTAGGATGGATTAAATTTATAAAGGTACTTTAAGATGTACCTTACACTTTCCTAAATGTAATACAAATAGAATTTCTTAAGTTAAAGGGTTGCCAGCTCTAGGTAGGGAGATTCTGTGTCTAAGGAAGCCAGTCTAAGGAAGCCAGAGTCTGGGGAGGGGAGAGGTCTCAGCTGAACAGAATGCTATAGAGGCCACCATCCAAAGCAGTTAATTTTCTTGGGGGGGGGGGAGAGAGAGATCTGTTGTCTGGAGTTCAGTTGTGATACCTAGAGCTCTTCAGGCCACACCTGGAGGTTGGCTACCCTAGACATAGCAGTCAGGGTTTCAGAGCAGAGTCTGCTAGACCCAGGTTCTTGCTGTGGAAGCTGACTGGGTGATTTTGGACCGGTCAAGACTTTCAGCAGAGAAAGACTACTTTTCCTCCTGGGGAACCATTGACAACACCAATCTCCAGGTGAGGGCTGGAGATCACACAGTAGAGCCTGCAGGTGTGTGTGTGTGTGGATGGAAAACTGAAGAGTGAGGGGCAGATAATGGCAGGTTGATACTTGACTGGGAAGGAGATAGAGTTGCCAATTCCAGTTTGGGAAATTCCTGGAGATTTGGTGGAGCCTGGAGAGGGTGAGGTTTGAGGAGGGATGGGACCTCAGACAGGTACAATGCCATAGACTTCACTCTCCAAACCAGCCATTCCCTCCAGGGGAACCATTGTTGCCAGTCTCTAGGTGGGGGCTGGAGATCACTCAGAATTACAACTGCTCTCTAGGAAGGAGGGGGGGAGGAGATGGAAAGCTGAAGTCAGAGGGGCAGATAGAGGTAGGTTGATGGTTGGCTGGGAGGGAGATAGGGTTGCCAACTCCAGGTTGGGAAATTCATGGAGATTTGAGGGGTGGAGCTTGGAAAGGGTGGGGTTTGTGGAGGGGTGGGACCTCAGACAGGTGCAATGCCATAACCTCCACCCTCCAAACCAGCCATTTCCTCCTGGGAAACCATTGTTGCCAATCTCCAGGTGGGGGCTGGAGACCACTCAGAATTACAACTGCTCTTCAAGTAGCAGAGATCAGTTCCTCTGGAGAAAATGGTGGACTCTGTGTCACTGTACCTTGCTGTGGTTGCCATAGCAAATTGACGCTGAATGCCCAAGGCCAGGGCACTCTCCCAGAGCCTCTTTCTAGAGTTCATTGTATTTATTTCCACAATGGGCCTTATTCCTAGTATGTAAATACTGCTGCTGACACTGCCGACTACCCAGCCCTGCAGCAGTGATATAAATCACCATATTTATAGGCTGTAAGTCAATGCTATAAAGACTACATACAAAGCTTTGGCTCTGCCTCAGGAACAAATGCCATTTGCCGTACTGGGTGCTTGTCCCTTGAATCAGATGAGCATCTAGACAAGTCTCACTGATAGGTTTAAGAGCTCTCTAATCCCAAGCAGCTACAGAATGAAGGTCTCAGACTCACGAACGGCTGTGTATAATTTAATATTAATATATTATAATACTAATTTAGTACCAATACAGCAGCTTTCCAGTTTTATCATTTTGACAAACAGCCTTTGCTGCACTAACAGTTGCTATACTTACCAAGATTGTATAACTTGTGAATGTTAAGCCACTGGGAACTTCATAAAATCTTTTATTTCTGCTGCTTGCAAAGCCACAATATATGACTGCTGGGCTAGGTCTAGTCATTTGCTAATTATACAAGACTGATGCACATCATCACACATCCTTCCACATTATCCCTCGTCTAAAACAGTGCAAACACTTCTATGCCAATAAAAAGCAAGTGTGTAAAAGACTCAGAGGAAGGTGGCATTCAAGCAACAACCACCACCACAGCTGCCCAAACTCTGGGTGAAAGCTGATTTGTTATGTAAACATTTTAAACGCTAGTCAAAAACTCACCCCTAAAACCCCAAATCTTTCACAAAAGTTCCAACCACAGAGAAAGTCGATTTCAAAGTTGTGATTAAGGATTACGATGGCATTTTCTTTCCCGTACTTGAGGTAACTCTGTGGGTCAGTGTAGAGGGTGCAAGTAGTGCCTGACCACCATTCCAGCAACATCACCAGCTCTGGAACAAACAACAACACATCAATGAATATAAACAGTACACAGGAGTCTACATACCAGTTATTGGACAGATTATAAATCTCTCGTTTCCTCAGAACGCAGTGGTTGTCCCCAACCACCTGCAAAGTAGGACTTTCCCATTTCCCCTTCTTTAAACTCAGATGCCCACCAGTTTTGGTTCTGAGAGGAAGCAGAGCCTCTAGAAGAAAACAGGAGACAAAATGGTGGTCTGTAGTGAGAGAGGGAATAGATGGAAATAATGCTTTGTCAAAGAAACTGTGTTGTTGGATACAGTCTAATGAAAACAGTTGACATGGTTCTAAAAAACCTGTAGCACTAATGACCATGTACCCTTGTGGTCCCTTCTTGGAAGAAGTACTAAAGGAAACAGATGCATACCTTTTGAAGCCTTGTTTTTAATGCTTTACTGCCTGGTTTTAGTTCATAATAGGGTTGTTGTATTGCATGGAATCTGGGAGATTTTTGGGGGGTGCCTAGGGTGGGTGGAGTTTCGGGCAATGTGATATGACATACTCTATGCCATAAAGACTGGGGAAATTCCTAGTGCAGCACAAAAGGTATGATATCACTTACAGGTGGAGGTTTGGAGGATGCAACATCACGAGTGGATGTCAAGACCATAGAGACTGGGGAAATTCCTAGTGCAGCACAGAAGTTGTGATGTCATTTCTGGGTGGAGGTTTGGAGGATGTAACATCACTACTGGATGATGCTCTAGGAATCCCTCCAATCTTTACCATAAAGACTGAAGGGATTCCTAGAACACAGAGACCGGAGAAATTCCAACAGTGTCACCAGCAATGCTATTTGCCCCATTTTTCTCCCACTCCTCAAATAATTGACAGTAGGTGGTAAACTGCTCACTGACAGTGGATAAATGGCAAACCTATTGTATTTATACCTAGCATTTAAACTGAACGGTGTAGAACAGGGGTGGCCAAACTATGGCTTGGGAGCCACATGTGGTTCTTTTACACGTATTGTGTGGCTCCCGCAGGGCAGCTGGGGAAGTAAAGGCAGAGGTCATTTCGGGGGGGAACGCAGGGGAACACAACTATTGCCTTACTTAGAACACAGGTTTTTCCACATAATTATAAAGCAAAGGAGCACCATTTAGAGAGAAGGAGTGTAGAACCTTCCTCACCACTGCTTTTCCCCCAGAACCATCCCCTCCCAGGCAGACCTAACTTCCAGAAAGTAATCAATGACATGAGGAGGACAAAAATAGGAAACAGGGAATAATAGCTTTGACCTGCATCTGGCTGAACCACTAGAAAGCACAGCAAGAGATGTAGGAATAGATCTCCCACAGGTTTTGTTGTTCTTGTTCACAGCAGTCACTGAGGACTAGGCTTGTCACTTGTCTGCCCATGGCAGGCAAACCCCCACCCTGGAAAAACTGAGAAGAGGGAGAAAAGAATGGTCTGCATGGTGAAGCTCTAGGAATTTCCCTGTATCTCTACAGTCTTTACTACAGAGATTGGGAGAATTCCTAGAACATTACCTAGAAATGCCATCACATTTGCTCCAAACTCCTCCCTCCTCAAAATCTCCTGGCACTTGCTAAGACAGTGCTGGTAACCCTAGGGAACTCTTAATTCAGGGCCATGGCACTGAAAAAGACAGGCTTAATTCTTTTCCTTAAGTAGTGTTGCCAATGTCCAGGTGGGGCCTGGAGAACTCCTGGAATTTCAACTGATTCCCACACTACAGTTTTCTTGGAGAAAATGGTTGCTTTGGAGGGTGGACTCTATGGCATTATATCCTATTGAGGTCCGTCCATTCCCCAAACCCCATACTCCCCAAGTGCCACCCCCAAATCTCCATGGATTTCCCAACTCAGAGCTGGCAACCCAAGCCCTTTTCACAATGTAAGTTGCCATCTCCCCTTGAAGCTTCCATATGCATTACTGAGGGAAAACATGTATTTACAACTCTAACTGGGGGAGAGGTGCTTCAGATCCCTTCTCTGTGTTAAACTTTACATTAGCCATGTGTACACAGGTCTGCAGATGGATCCATCCTCCTCTTTGAGACAGACAAGTGATGTGTTTGGAGCAGCAGAAAGTCAGAATTTGAACCATGATACTCCTCAGCAGGATTCTGGCAGGCATATATTGTCAGGTTTACTCAGTCAAGAGATCTCTTCCTCAAGTCTATTAGAGAAACTCTAAATTGGCACACATGCTCCTGAGTTCACCGTCTGTCAAATAAGAATCTGTTCTATAGAAAATGGCTTCTGAAAGGTTGCAGTTTGTTCCTTCGCCTGAAGAGCTCTCACTTAATATCAGAGTCCTAATTCAGCTGCTCCTAAAATAGATGCAAAACCTTTCACTGAATAACGAATTCCAGCACACATTTGTAAAAGGTAGTTACACTATGTCTCAACTATTTTACTACTTCATCAATTAAAGTATCTACATTTCAAATGCTCAAGTGCTCTCCTGCACATTCCGTATATTTTACTGACAGCAGAGAACTATTCCACAAACTTACACAGAACCCCAATGGTTGACAATTTACGTTTCCATATAAGGAAGAAGGGTAAAGTTGAAAGACTCTTTTGGAAAATTTCCAGGGTTAAACTCTAGAAAAGCTATGTTAAGAATACTTTGTGAGATTATTTTGTGTCTTTTAATAACCTTACAACAGCAATATGACAAACAAAACAAGTACATGCACAGTACATATGCCACTTTACTGTACATTGCACTAGTCAGTTTGCATACAGACTTTGTGAGCTGACCAAATTCTTTAACAATCACTTGTGGTCTGAAATGAGGACCATTGTCATGCCAACTTGCTGGAATCTGACACCAAGATCCCACTTCAGCACTATTAACTAACATGGATGGAAAGGCACAGGAGGTTAGTTTCTTATTTCATCTCAGGGCACAGCCTCATACACACAAAATCTACACTTCTATCCAGTAGGTCATGAGCTGGCTTGGCTCACTCATGTCTTTGTAGGGGGTGTTGTTTTTACACTTGAAGATCACCCAGTCTGAACTCAGCTACCTGGAGTTGTCTTTAGGTACCTGGACATCTAAAGCTAGCATGATCTCAAAATTAGTTTCTTCTCCATATTATTGGAGAAATTTGTGCTCAATTCAGAAATTTATCAGGGTCATTTATCTCAACAGCAGCTATTTAACAAAGCAAAAGTAATAACACTGTGAAGCAGCAGAGTGCTAAACAGTGGAAGGGCTTCTAGTGTCCTGACCCCGCTGCTGGACCTCCTGATGGCACCTGGTATTTTTGGCCACTGTGTGACAGTTTTGGACTAGATGGGCCATTGGCATGATCCAACATTGGCTTCTCTTATGTTCTTATCCCCCTATACAATGAACAACTACAAATCTGTCTCCCGCTTTTGAGAATGTGTAACAGCATATGCTGTAACTGTAACATGCGCAGATATTCTAGAATAAATATACATTGGTCAAGATTTTTGTTTCTTTATTCTTTTTTTTTGGTAAACAAAATTTTTATTATTATTTTCATTCATAGGAATCCAACATTTAAACATTAAACCTTTAAAAAGAATATCTTTGCTTACCCTACGTTCGTTACTCCTTCCCCCCTCCTGTGGCTTCCCGCAATGCTTTCACCCCTTTTCCCACACTCATATATATTTCATCAGTTATTAACATCTTGTTTCTTGTCGCTAACTTATAGATAACAACAATTTGCTTAATATTGTTCTAAACACAGTAAGTTTTGTTTCACATCCCAGTTCTTTTCCAGATAAATTTTGAAGTCCTTCCATTCTTCAAAAAATTCATCTTCTTTGTTGTTTAATTTCTTTGTGATTTTGTCCATTTCTGCCATGAACAGAACTTTTTGAATCCAGTCCTCAATCTCTGGTACTTTTTCCAGTTTCCAGTATTGTGCATATATCATTCTTGCTGTCGTTATTAAGTACCAGAGTAGAGGTTTTTTTTGTCGCATTGACTTCTTCCATCTTTAATCCCAAAAGCAGAATTTCCGGTGCTTTTTTAAAAGAGCATTGTAGTATTTTCTGCATTTCACTGTGGATTTTCGTCCAGAAATCCACAGCTTTTTCACAAGTCCACCACATATGGTAAAATGAGCCTTCATGTTTCTTACATTTCCAACATCTATTAGACATATTTTGGTTCATATTTGCTATTTTTTTCGGAGTCATGTACCATCTATACATCATTTTATAACAATTTTCTCTAACACTGGTACAAGTCGATATCTTAATAGAATTTTTCCACAAATATTCCCAAGATTCAATCGTCACTTCTTTATTCATATTAATTGCCCACTTTAACATTTGTTCCTTAACTGTCTCATCTTCCGTATACCATTTTAATAATATTTTATACATATTTGAGATCTTTTTT